AGGACTACAAATCCCAGCAATACATTATACCGATACAAGCATTGGTATCGGCCGCGATACCGAGTATTTGCATGAGTACTCGTGCAAATACTCTGATACATAAAACGAGTACCTGTGCCGCGTCCGCCATCTTCAGGGACCCGAATCCGCCGCACACAGGACCTCCATCGCGTCTTCAATGAAGCAAGATGGGCGCGAACTCCTCTGTCATTCTGACCTCTTCTCCCGCTGATTGGCCGATTGGATGATTGACAGGCTTCCTCACCAGTCAGGAGTGACTGGTGAGGAAGTCTGTCATCATCCAATCGGCCAATCAGCGGGAGAAGAGGTCAGAATGGAGCAGATGTGAGAAAGCCGAAGCCGTGCACACAGTCAGCCCATCATCCGTTCATCGTACAGAGCCATCATCGACCAGCCCCCTCCCCTGTGCCCGGCCCTGGGCACCTGTCTGCTCTCGGGATACTGAGGATTACTATGGGCTGTATCGAGTGGAAGGGCTGGAGCAAACCCAGCGACTCTCCGGCTGCACTGGAGACTCACTTCAATTTATACTCACACTTAAGTGAGGGAGAACAGGAAGCCAGATTTGCTGCAGTCTTGCTATCTTTAAATGCGTCACAGTCACTAAATACAATACATATGCACCTTTCCAATGTCTTTGTTTCCTGGGTTCTTGCTTTCTCAATCATGCACTACTGCTGTTCTGCTGCTGTTTGTCCATTCTTGCTGCTGTTTCTGTTCCTCTTTTCTGTCCACTTTTTGTACATTACCAGGCGTAGCTGAGCAGTTTGCTACAGCAGAAGCTAAACTCCGTGCCTGGTCATCAATTGATGGGGAAGATTCCACAGATGATTCATATGATGAGGATCTGCAGCCCTCAATGGACCATTCTCAACCTGCAGATATTCTAAGTCCTTTGCAGAAGTATCTGGTGTCATCCCTGTATGCTGCTGTGACAGTGACTCCTCACGTACCCTGTCTCCTGAAACCCTGTGCTCCAGCAATGGCATAATAAATATTTATTTCAGTATTCAATGTCTTTGTTTTATATTATAAATGTTATCATATTAAAAAAAAGACATTGAATAATTAAATTAATATTTATCATGCCATTGCTAACTGAGGCTTGTATCCCCATAGTGGGGAAAATAGATGATCACATATCCAGAGTCCAGAACACTGTATTATTGTATAGTGTGGCACGGCTATATCCAATTCTGCATACCTGGCTTTATATTATAAAGACCTTATAATATAAAGCCAGGTATGCAGAATTGGATATAGCTGTGCCACACTATACAATAATACACTATTCTGGAGTCTGGACATGTGATCAGCTGTATCCAATTCTGCATATCTGGCTTTATATTATAAGAACTTTATAATATAAAGCCAGGTATGCAGAATTGGATACAGCTGTACCACACTACAGAGTGTTCATGTTCTTCATAATATTAAGAAACTGACCTAAAATCATGATTTTGTATTGCTTTAGAAAAAATGTGACCTGTCTCTTTAAGAAAAAGTATCGGCAATTGGTATCGGCGAGTACTTGAAAAAAAGTATCGGTACTCGTACTCAGCCTTAAAAAAGTGCTATCGGTGCATCCCTACTGTAAAGGACAGCAACGCGACGGTCCCCACAAGGCTGCTGAGGTCCCCAGCAAGTGTGGGACCTCAGGCAACTGAGCCCATTTAAAAATGTAAAGCGTCAGTATCACATACTTGTGAAAATGACCAGTATTGGCACCAATACCGATACTGGTAACAGTAGCAGTGCATCCCTATTTCCCATTCACATTTTACAACTTAATTAAATATTAAAACAATGCTGCTTGCTTCTTTAAGCGATTTATATTTGCCTAAAAATCCTAACTAGCTTCACCCTATGAAATGTTAAGGAGGGGGCTGTGGGAAGTTATTTTTAATCTAATTAACCCTGTTTGTACTTTGTGGGCAGATTTCATTACATAGTTTTTAAGGTGAAATAAAGACACAGGTCCATTCAGTTCAACTTATGCAAGTGTGCATGTATATATGAGTCACTAGGAGTACCCATACCCTTGTAAATTGCATTCACTGAGGAAAACATCTAGAAGTTGAATGTGTCTATACTCTCAGCTGATTCCACTACACTACCTGGGGAAGTGAGTTCCACAATTTTACCGCTCTAACAGTAAATAATCCCTTTTGCAGTTTCAGATTAAACCTTTTGTCTTCCAATTTACGGTGGTGGCCTGTTGTCTTCTTAAGTGAACAGTTAATTATTGATTCTACAATCATCTTTAAACAATTTGTACATTACAATCAAATCCCCTCTTAACCGCCTCTTTTCCATAGTGGACAATACAATTTTTGTAATCTTTCCTCATAGCTTAGGTCCTCCTCCTTTATTAGTTTTGTTGACCTTTGCTAGGATCTCTCTCGCTCAATAACATGCTTCCTGCAGATTGGTGGCCAAAACTGAACCACATATTCAAGATGAGTCCAAGCAGTGTTTTATTAGAATTATTTAGAATTATTGGTTTGTCACTGGAATAGATACTCTTTTTTTTTTTTGCATGAAAGTAATCTGCTAGCCTTGCTAGCTGCAGCCTGGCATTGCATACTATTGCTAAGTATGCATTCTAGTAGGACTCCCAAATCTTTTTTCACCTCCAATTTCCCCACAGACGCTCCCCCGAACGAGTTGCTTGCATGCAGATTTGTTTTATACTACCTGGACTACAATCTCACATTTAGTTTACTAATTTGTACTGAAATAATAGTCTATCACGGATTTGAGCTTGGAGCTGTGGCTACTTTACAACACACAGGGGTCTATTCACTAAGCTGCCGTAGGCAGCCGAGTGAATGACCGACCTGAAGCGAAGTGAGCCGAACGCTGTTCGGCTATTCACTTCAGGCTGGTATGGCTGATTTCAGCCGTATATCGGCTGAAATCTCTCCTGTTTCTCTCCTGGGCGGCCGGGAGCGGGAGACTCCCGGAGTGCCCCGGGAGAGTTTGCTGTCTGGGGATCAGTGTCCCTGGTTAGCTGGTAACCAGTGACGCTGATCTCTCTGCAAGTGGCCGGAGCCAGCCGTAAGATCACGGCTGGCTCCGCCCAGCTGTCAGAAGCGGGCTGTCGGCCGACTTCAGGAGCTGTACGGGCTATAGTGAATAGCCCCTACAGCAGCCCTTCGGTTCTACTCAACCAAAGGGGTCCTGGGGCCGAAGCTAGCCGAAGGATCGGCCGAAGCTACGGCTTGATCCTTCAGCTGCTTCGTGAATAGACCACATAGAGAACATAGAGAACAAAAATAGCCACCCTCTAGAAAGAAGGAAAGTGTCAGCATGATTTGGGGATCTACAGCCAAGTTATACACAAATAAGTTACAGTATAGTTAATAGTTATGGTACTTAAATGCATTTTTAAGATCTAACTGTTAAGTGTCACTTTAAATGCTTTGTGTAGATTGGCAAATACAGCTTGTGTGGATTGACACATTCAGATTGCATTTGAGACCACTTGAAGACACTTATAATATCCTTTACAGATGCATCTGGCCTCGTTTTAAACTAGACAACCACAACAATATTAACAAAACAAAGTCCTAATTTACTACTAATTAATCAGAATCTCTGGATTCATGTTGAAGTATCAAAATGAGCTCCTCTTGCAGTACAGCAGCACACAGCAAATACACAGTGCAAATATACAGAATATATATAATATATATATATATATATATATATATATTCCCTAACTGTGACTAGACAATAAAGGACCAGCAGCAGAATGATGAGGTCATCTCTCACATTCTGTCAGCTTTCACATGTGCACACAACAGTGTCTGGTTGTTTCAAAGTACTGACACCACTCTTCACGGTTGTACTGTACAGGTGAATACAATAGGCTGTTACTAGGACAGACTCGTGTACCTACTTTAATTTAAAACAACATGTAATTACTTTAATTGATAGTGAATAAATAAAATAATTACATGATATTTTATACACCCATATGCTTGCAGTTGCATAGAATTTTGTATACCTTGTTTGTATTGCTGGGCTTAATCCATTTATATGGTATTTTCAATGCAATATGCTGGTTTTATTGATATTTATTCTTGTTTATGCACAGTTAATGATTTTTGTTTTTTAAATGGCACTTTTTTGTTTCATGAAATTCTGAACTTGGCTCAAGTGTCATGAGCATGTATGATTTGTGTTTGCCTATTTATTATTATATATAATGCAAAACATAAGTCTGTATATTGGCAACAAATGATATATAATATTTCAGAAGCTATTATTTAGCAAATGAGGTCTGATTTAGAATTCAAAGATACCGTGGTTATTGGTGTCTGAAATAAGAACTGCTCAGTCAATTCATTCTATACCTACAATGGTCAATGGCAGTAGAGACTAAGGAAACACATTGCTGTAACAGAGACCATGCTTCTCTATTAATAGTTTGCACAAAGTACATTCTATTCATTTTATTGTGCAAACAGCTATTAATATGTTCTGAAAGTTGAACAGTATTAAAAAATCTATACACACTCAATAGAGGACAAATGTGTTTGTCTACTGTGATATATTGTTATGTTCAATGAGTCCATAAAGTACCATTAGTAATATGATGCTTCCGCGAATATTATTGTACCATAATTGGCGATTAGTCATGTCAAAAGTTTTAATTAAAGAATAATTATGTCAGTAATCACAATAAATTTTGACATTGTGAATAGCAAAAACAATAAGTCAGATTAATTAATGGGCACACATGGATTACAGTTCATTATGAGACATATTATGCTATATATTGTATATTATTTATGATTATTCTAATGCTCCATGATGAATATTCCATCATTCCCCTCTTAAAAAGTTGTTTAAGTCCCCAATGACCTCCAAGCTCCTTATAATGCAAAATGTGAGATATATTATCTGTGCTAAATCATGTACACTGAAAAAGACACTTATTAATATTTTAAGATCATTCTTTATCACTGCAGTATGTCGAGAAGATTCCTTCCAGTCTATAGTGTCATGCTCAGCAGTGGTATTTTCCCATGTGGAAGAGTCAAGTGAAAAGAAACAACCTACAGAAGAAGGACCAAAAATATCTGAGACAACAAAAAGGTAAGTAGCAGATTATACATCATTATTGTAATAAAAGTTCACAGTGAACTAACATGTTGGTTTTGGATGAAGACATCAGGTTTGAATTGCCGTTGTTGAAACTTATCATTTCCACTGGCATTTAAGGGCCACATCAGACAGCATTTCTAGCAGCAGACTCAAAGATGTGAGGCAGCCATTTACCATGATGTATCACTCAATTGCTGGCCAAGAATTCAGCAGTATCTCACTAGCTAGCAGGGGAGGGACATCTCACTTGGCCATGGAGTGAGCTTTTTTCTTGCAAAAGATAAACATTTGCTTCTTTGAGATTTTATTGCTATCCCGTGGGGTGTAATTTTAAAGGCTGCAAAGGTTGCAATTGACACTTGAGACTGTGAGAGATTTAATTATTATTAATATATATGTATTATATAAACTATTTAATAATAATAAAAAGCACATGGAATGAAATGAGGACTATTTCTCACCATCATGTTAGATAAGAGACAAGGCTATTGAATTGTAAATAATTCAGAACATAGGAGAAGGAATACATGCTAACAAAATCGTTTGTGAAATTGAAAAAAATGAAATTTGAAAGGCTTGTGTCTTCATCTTAGTGCAGCAGTGAATACTCTGATCAATCCAAACTGTGAGCACAGCACAGGCAAAGGAAAATGTGAATGTTATTAGGACAAAATAAGATGAGGTGTGAAATAATTGATGGTTTTTTTCTTCTTTGTATCTGTCCTGATCATAACTCATGTGGAACTCTTTTTTAACAGTCCCACAAAGGGATGGGAAACTAGATAGTCACTGAAGCTATATTGTTGAATGTGGCTACTTAGAATTAATGTTTAGTGATAGGGAAAGGTCTTTAGGGACATAGATTTATATAAAGTTTCATTCAGTACATTAGCCGCATGGAATCTAAAAGCCTTTAAGCTAGTGAGTAAAATTAGTTGATGCTGCCATAACACTGTTAGCAGGCAGGGTCCTGAACAAGATAAATGTAATTCTAAAGATGATGGCCATATAACAGGTAGGCTACATAACCAGAATGAGGACATCCCTCAACAAATGCTGCTTGATTTTGTTAACTGCAGACCAGTTGTCAGACTTCCCCCACTCTACTGTTATTCCCTTTGAGTCAGCATTAGGCAGACCTCCCACTTATTGCAGCTTATATCCAGAGGCTTTGCTGAAAGATCCTGTTTGGTGGGAAGATCCAGAAGATGTTTCTGTAATCCCCATATTACTCTTCCTCAGACACAGAGTAGCATATTTTGCTACCAACTTGCAGTCTCCTACAAAATGATTGAATAAATGCTCACATTCAGTAAAATATTCCCCCTCCTTGCAACAATATTCCATAAAGAGCCATATAAACTTGAGACATGGAGTGGTGTGTCCCTCCTCTGACTCATTCAGCTCTGTGAGTGGAGTCAGAGGAGGGACATACCCCTCCATGTCTCAAGTTTATATGGCTCTGAGTGGGAACATAGCAGGGGATCAAATTAATCTCTCTTTTCAGCATATAAGTAAATAACTTCAAAAACCTGCAGTCAGTAGACTCTAGAGCTCCATCTACTGTCTTTGCTCTCTGGGACTATTAGTTATCTTTTATAAACATAGTTGTTTTTATGTTTTGTTGTTGTACCTCATTGCCGCTGATCTCCTGCATTATCTTTACATACACTTACTCTCTGCATGCATGCACTCCAGTGAGCATGGCATTTCTCAGGGAGGATTTCCTGATGGTGACAACAGTGGACCATACCTGCATAATGTGTGCTGAAATGGCAACTCTGTTAGAAACCCATGTGACAAGGTTACAATGAAGAAGCACATTTGGGAGACAGGGTAGCGCATTACCACCTGGGGCTTTTCATTAGATTTTGGAGTGTGAATTTGTGGCTATTAACCTAAAAGGTCCTGCTGTTGGATTGCAAGACCTGGCATGCAATTGATGATTCAATGCATCCCAAAGGTGTTCAGTATGGTTGAAATCAGGGTTCTGTGTGGGCCACTTGAGTTTCCCCCAACCAGACTCATCAGCCATGTTTTTATGGATCTGGTTTTGTATACAGTGGCATAGTTATGCTGGAACAGAATAGGGCCTTCCCCAAACCAATTGCACAAGGTTGGAAGTACACAATGGTCCAAAATGCCTTCGTATGCTTTAGCATTAACACTATCCTTCACTATCGCTAACACTCATTTGGAGGTGTATGCACAAACTTTTGGCCATAAAGTGTACTGTATTGAGTATCAAAATTATTGTTGCCATCAGATACCACTTCCAAAGAGATCTGGGCACTGAAAATTAATGAACCAAGTATAGTATGCAAATAAGACCAGCAGCCACATAAAACATGAACATTCTTTTTGGATTAACATTAACAATATTATTATTCATTAACGGATAAGTGCACCTTAAAACAATGTGCACAGGCTCACATACCTCACTTGAATGGCCAAAGCCTCTGTTTTTGTTTAAATCCTGACTGTGTCTAGTTGTTATTATAGCCTTCTATTGGGATGCCTCCCTACATCTCTAGCCTCGGCCCCCGCCCGACACCCCCAGCTTGTTACCCGGGCTCTGATGCCCCTCCTGTGGTTCCAGCATCAGCATGTTGGCAGAAAGCCGTTGAGGAAACCGGCAAACATCCATTCGCCGATCTCCTCCCAGCTCTAAGTAACCGGAAACAACGCTGATTGCATCACTTCCAGTCCTTTAGCTGTCAATGCTTGGCTTCAGAAGCCGAGCCATAAACTATAGGAGCACAATCTGCACTCCAATAGCTTATGTGGAGTGGAAAGGTGACACTAGGGGTCTTTTAGACCCCTGATGTTACCTTAAAGTGTACTTGTTACCTCCAATTTGCTATCACATAGGTGGATTGTATGCGCCCTATGTGATAGCAATAAAGTAAAGTAAAACAAAAATTAAAACAGTGTTTTAAAAATAAGATTAAATAAAATAACTGTAAAAATAATAATACAAACAATAATAAAAAAATGAAAGTCCCTCGTGCCCCGCAAGCGCACATTAATGTAAACATGTGTCGGGTGTGCCTACGTACGAAAATAACGACCACACTACAGATGTTAGGTATTGCCACCTGCACTAGAGTAAGAACAATAATTACACAGCCGATATTCACATGTATCCTTAAATTGATGACCTGTGCAGGCTTTTAAAGTGTTACCTATGGACAATATTGGGTACCATATTTTGTCACCATTTCACAGACGCACACAATTTCTAACCTGGCCATGTTGTGTATCTATTTACTCATCATAACCTCATATTGTATATTTTAGAAAAAGTGGGTATTATATTGTGTTTTTGGGCACTAAAATTAACTCCAGTGCATTTTTTACAAAATGTTGTTGTGCTAATATTATACAACATAACATTTTGCAACTGCCACCATTTTATTCTACTTTTACTTTTTTTATACTACTTGCTTTCAGAAAATATATAATTTTCAGGCCTAAAATGTGGATTATAACATGTGTGCAAAAAAAAGGCCTTGGCAGCAAAAGGGTTAATAGTCCAGATATATTTTTAGATGTAAGGTTGGGGGGTTGGGGCCTACATTGATTAAATATGCATCTGCTCTATTAAATGGAGTGTGGCACTTCAATTCACAAGCCTGTGATTTGAATACAATAGCCAGCAGGGGAATTACATGGGTCTGAATGAGAGAAATCTAAATACAGAGAGGGGGATTTATCAAAACTGGAGCAGACAAAATCTGGAGCATTTGCCCATGGCAACCAATCAGCTTCTCTCTTCAGTTTGTTGATTTAAGATTTGAAAATGAAAGAGAGAAGCTGATTGGTTGCCATGCACAGCTGCTGCAGATTTTGTCTGCTCCAGTTTTTATAAATTCCCAAGTGTGTATGGCTAGGTTTAGATTGCATCAGGATAAAGAGGCAAATAAAATAGGTGTACTTTGTTTTATCCTTTTAGTTTAATTGATTTTTACCCTTGTAAATGAATAGTAAAAAAAAAAAAAAGCACAGGAATATTTTTAACTTATATAGATTCATTTGTGATCAGTTTTTGTGGGTTTTTTTCCATTGGTGTTCCTCCGAAACCTCTACCGCGGAGAAGCCCTTTATATATTTGAACATACTAAAAAATTCACATGTCAGATTATATCAAATACAATTTTGCTCCTCTGATAAATTCTTCCACTAATTTACAACTTGAAAGAAAGGCTAAAATGTATTGTACTTCCTCACCTTATCTGTCTTTTTTTCTGTAATTGTAGTCTCAGTATTCTGCAGTTATATATCAAGCACAGAATATTCTGTCTCGTCTCCAGTGTTCAGAATATATAGCCTTTTCATCAGCATAAGATAGAGAAGATCGGGGAACATTGAGATAGAGAAGATTGGGGAAACAGGTTACTTCAATGGCCATTAAAAAAAAAAAAAAACATTGTCTGATAAAGCTGCTACTAACATTCATACATATGTAAGTTAAAGTTGCAGCAGAAATTGAGGCATTTGATATTTAGGACTAAACAAGGCAATAAACTGATGGCTGCTTTTTTCTGCGGGTTACAAGAAGTCACCTGTACAACCCAACATGGCATTTGTTTTTACATTATTTTTGTTCTGATATTCTCTTAAACTTGATGTGTTTACCCATAAATGTCATCAAAGCCTCTTTTCCACAAACCAGTTTGTGAAAGTTCTATGGCCTGGGTTTAGAGGCTGTTTGATCTGATTTTATCTTTAACACCATATGCTGATATTAAAGATACATTTCAGGAGCAAGTAAAAAATCAATACATTAAGGGCTAAGGACATTTAGGAAACATTGTGGATTTGTTTTACAGGGTTATTCACCAAAGGGTGAAGGGTTTGGAGAAGGCAGGAGACGTGAACAATCTAGGCCAAAATAGCTGAATTGGAAAAATTCTCCAATTCAGCTCACTTTCCAAATCTGCTATGTTGTCCTACATTGTTCACTTCTCCTGCTTTCTCCAAACTCTTCA